CCCCGGAGTCATAACCCGTCCCGAACCCCCCCCCCCCCCCCCCCCCCCCCCCCCATTTCCCCCTTGCCGGAATAGTTAGCCAGCGCCATTTGGTCTCTTACAAAGTTTCTTATTCAATTGGGTGTTTATTTCTTCAGGAAGTACTAGGTCTAAAAGCATTTTAACAAAGTTCCTCTTGGAGTTATCATGATTTTGTGATGGCCTCTTCCATCCTCTAATCGAGAAGTGAATCGACTCAACGAAGTATCCATGACTTTGACAGCATTGAGACAAGTTTAGAAAGCATTAGTTTCACATTAGACACTTGGCCATCCCTAGTCTGTTTCCTTTCGTTTTACATATCTTGATTAACTCGGACATAAACAAACTAAAGTGGTACTTAATCAAGCCTTGTGTGTGCCTCTGGCTAGTTTTGGGTCTTTGAAAATAAGGAGGGAAAAAATACCAAATATTGTGCATTATCTTTGTTTAACGTTTTTGCGACTTTCCGAGTTCACCTCTCTTTCTGTGTACGGTTTACTCAGTGCAATTTTCATAAACATAAACTCTGTGTCTCCAAGCTGCACGATGAACTTTGGTTTTTTGCTGCCGTAAGTCAAAGATAAGATTGATTAGCTTTGATTGACGGCAGCGAAAAATAAAAATTTCAGTGCAACTTGGAGACACAGAGTTTGCATGTTTATGAGAATTGCAGTAAAATGCATAATGATTTTTTTTTAACAGGAGTTCATTAGTTTGAAATGTTTCTGGATAAAGCAAGTCGTCGTCGTGGCTGTCTGTGATTTCGCTTAAAAGTTTGATTAAGTAGAGAAAAACATGTTTAATCGTGAGCTGGAGAAAGATATAACTAAAAACTGTTTAATATACAAATGAAAGTATGAGATTTATCTGAAAGAGCTAGCAGTATATGTAGAATATCTCACAAACTATACTTTTTTGTCTTTCGAATAAATGACAATTATAAATACAAAAAAATTTACTTGCTTCTCTACTCTATCAGATTCGATTTCGATTTCATTTAATTATTCATTATTTAGCCATTCACTTGTTCATTCATTCATTTATCGAGTCCATTCCTACATTTATCCATCTACTAATATATCCAACCATTATATTCATTTATCTATCCATTCACTTACCCATCCATTCATCCATCTATCCATATCCATCCATCCATCCATCCATCCATCCATCCATCCATCCATGCACTCATTTTTTTCATTCAGCTACCCATTTCATTCAACCGCTCATCCATACATCTATCATTCCACTTTATTCATTCACCCATCCGTCCAACCATTTCGTTCATTTTCTTTCCACTAATTCATCCATCCTTGCCCCTCATCTATCTATGAAAAGACATCCATTTATCCATTCATTCAACCCATCTTTTAACCCATCCATATCCATCCTTGCCCCTCATCTATCCATGAAACAACATCCATTTATCCATTCATTCAACCATCTTTTAACCCATCAATCTATCCATCCTTGCCCCTCATCTATCTATGAAACAACATCCATTTATCCATTCATTCAACCATCTTTTAACCCATCCATATCCATCCTTGCCCCTCATCTATCTATGAAACAACATCCATTTATCCATTCATTCAATCATCTTTTAACCCATCCATCTATCCATCCTTGCCCCTCATCTATCTATGAAACAACATCCATTTATCCATTCATTCAACCATCTTTTAACCCATCCATCCATCTATCCATCCGTGCCCCTCATCTGTCCGTATAAACCACCCATCCATTTATTCATTAGTTAGTACGTGTTCCTTATTAAACTTTAATCTATTCCCATCCACCCTTGCTTTAATCTATCTTTTAGTCTACAGCCATTCTTCCTTCCTCCCTTCATTATATTTATTTATATTACCCATTCATTACTTCTTTCTAATGTCTTGCACGTTCACCAGTGAAGAAAAAATAATTCAGCCACTAAATCATGAAGTCAAATCTTATTCCTTTTTTCAAAGCTATTTTTACCAACTAAAATGTTTATGAAAAAAAAAAATTAACTAAAGAAATGGCTGAATATTGTTCTCATTTGAATTTGATTGCTGCATTTTTCAATCAAGTTTTTTTTTTTTTCAATCAAGATATATTCGATTTCTGTAGGATATTTTCGCGAATTTTGTTGACGAAATTAAAATATAAGTGGTAAACCATAGACTATTAACTGGAAACTAAAGAAAAACACTCTTTGCAGATGGAATAGTTAGTCGGCAGACGAGAGGCTGCGGAATAAAGATAAACACCACCAGATGATTTGGAATTAGTAAGTTATATATATGTAAACCTGTCGCAAAATGATAACTTTGAAAAAAAAACATCTGTTGATACTGAACTGTTTTGTCAAAAAAAAACAAAAACGGACAATGAACAGAAAATGCTAGAATGGGATTTTTGTTATTATTGAGCGAACAAAGTAATTTTTTGTGGGCGGTTTAATAATATTTTCTTATTCAAAAGACTGAAATTTTTTTGCTAAATTTGGAAGTAATTCAGTTCTGCTTGCTATATATCATGAATTTATAGGTTTTTATATGAAGCTGCCATCTTAAAGTAGCTTTAATTAAACCTTTTGGGCTATTCATAAAGACAGTCTGGAACAGTCAAAATTGATTTGGTCTGATTTGTTTTCACGTTTGCATTGCATCCCTCGAGCTCGTATATTGATCGAGCCATCGATTCATTAGTCTTTAAGTGTCCTTAGTATTGCTTCAATAGTCTGCTTTAATATTCATTTTCTTATGAGGAAACCGACGTTATACAAAGTGTTTCTATTGATCGATTACTAATCAACACTGCTCACGATGATCACGTTCGTACACACGCGCTCTATCGTGACGTCAGTCAAGGAAAACTACCCCACTGAGAGAGCCAGACATTAATAATACCAAAATAGTCTTTAGTCATTAAATTACATTCAGAACGTATGAAAAACGAAATTAAAAAAATATGATATTTGAGTGTTTTTAGTCTAAGAGTAATGGCTATTACAGGCGCCACATTGTTCCCTCTCTCTCTATTAGCTTTCTTTCTTTCTTTCTTCGTTCTAGTTAGTTAGTTCGTTAGTTAGTTCATTCGTTCGTTCTTTCTTTCTTTCTTTCGCTCGTTCGTTCGTTCGTCGTTCGTTCGTCGTTCGTTCGTTCGTCGTTCGTTCGTCGTTCGTTCGTTCGTCGTTCGTTCGTTCGTTCGTCGTTCGTTCGTCGTTCGTTTGTTCGTTTCGTTCGTCGTTCGTCCGGTTCGTCGTTCGTCGTTTGTTCGTTCGTTCTTTCTTTCTATTCGTCTTTCCTTCGATACTTTTTTGTTCTCTTCTCATTTCTCATTTCTCATTTCTTATTTCATTTTTCCTTTACCATTAGATCCCTCTTTCCTTTCATTCTTTCTGTCCTCTCTCCTCTCTCTTTTTCTCTCTCTCTCTTTCTCTTTTTTTTTTTTTTTTTTTTTTTTTTTTTTTTTTTTTTTTTTTTTTTTTTTTTGGAGTAGTTCAATTTTCAATTCGGTGTGCGCTGAGTATTAGCAAGTCATCGTTCTTGGCACGACATTAGTAAGAGTGCATCGCGCCTAATCAACTATCCTGAAAGCCATTTTTTTGAGGAAGGATGGCCGGATAACGCGGAAAATAGACATTCAATAATTGAATCGATAGATACGTAGACCCTTTTATCCACACTCAAAAGGAAAGACACTCGTATGGCCTAAAAACATTGTAGCGTTTAAATGTCGGCATTCTTTAACACACAACACAAGGACTTTTAAGTAAAAATGAAAAAAGTTTTAACTTCTTGGAAGTGATAGCATTTGGACTTTCAGCACTGAGGCCACAGCCTCAAAGCTCCGGTTTCCGACGGTAGCTGTCAATCATACTACATATTAAATACCATTTGGTATAATTTCAACTGATTCGATCAATGAAATATTGCAATGATACATCAAAAAATTACCATCTTTTTGAAATACTATTAAAAATACGTAGCCTCAAGAGATAACAGCAAAACCAAGATGGCCACTTCTGCTATCAAAACTACAATCTATAGAATTTAACGCTTTGTGAAAGAGAAAGGAAAAACATTGAAGAATTCCCGAAATTATCCGGCCGCATTTAAGGAATTTTGATTTCTAAGCGGCTGGACCGAATTGATTAATTGCCGATAAAAGATCCACATTCAGTGGGAAAGAAAACAATATGTTGTGGAAAGCTAATATTGTGCTTCGTCGGTCGTCTCTATTAATTTAAAACTTGGGAATTCTATATATGACCACTGACAATTTATTTCTGTATTTGATTTTATTAGCAAGTATAACTCGCAGTGATTTTTAACGCGCAGTATAGCCTAGGGATTATGGGTAAACTGTTTCTCCACCAATCAGGTCTCAGATTGCCAATCGGTCGAGTTCGACCTTTGTATATAATTTAACCTTTATACTACTATATAAGCACCTTTTTTTCGCTGATTAAATCTTTATCATTATAACAGAGCGTGAACCTTGTAACCATAGCTGATGAGCGTAGCAATTGATTATCAAACTTAAAAGCTCGAAAATTTGCTCGAAAATTTGCTATACGTTCATCATGCAGTTATCAATCCTTCGCAGCAGTTTCAAAATCTGTCTTGTTGAAACGATATATACAAATGCTGGAGATACAATCATTTGATAATATAGCCATAACATCGGGATTAAACTTTTACACGGTTAATGACTATTAATTCGCGCCAAAGATGTCACAGAATCTGATTGGACCACAAACTTTCTTATTTTTTTTAAACAGTTTTTAGCTATTTTGCTAAATTCGTCCGGATCACTTTTGAGACTCGGCGCGCATTCGAGATCAAATATAAATTATAAATCATTGTTACTAAGGATAAAATTGCGGGGGGAAAAGATTTTGGCGTAATTCTAAGGAATTGTAATCAAATCGCAATTTCCTTAGTTAATTTCACGCAAGGAGATTATTAAGATCCTTATGTTTGCATTTCTTTTTTTTTTTTTTTTTTTTTTTTTTTTTTTTTTTTTTTTTTTACTTTGGCAAACGAACAAAAAGACATACTGCAAGCGATTCAGTGAAGTCTACCGTCGGCCGATGCCGAAAAACAAGCTTAGAAATCCTCATCAGAAAGAAATTATCTAAAGCTCCGAAGTAATATTGCGTTGCGGATAAGAGAAGTAAAGGAAAATAATAACGAGGAAAACAAAGTAATCGGTTGTAATTTCGTTAGAGGAATAGATTTCCTGATGTCTCTCGCGCTCTAAGCAACAATTAATAAGCGAAAAAAAACTGTTAATGAATGAAGTAAAATCCTGGCACTTAACTTTACTTCATTCCATAATGACTCATGCACTCCACTCGAAATTCTCAGTCTCTCTGTCTCTTCTTTGCTCTTCTTTCGTCACTAGTTCCATGTATTTCTAAGATTCCCCGCTAAGGTTACTGACTTGTTAGAGATAAACCAACGCGCTATCACTTGTGAATTGACCGCCAACTCTTGAGAAAAAGCCTTGGAGGAGTAAAATAAAAGCTATTTGGAAGGCTACCGGATGTGGTTACATTATAATTTGTAATAGAGTGCGTTAGCCCTAGGTTAAAAGCAAGAGACATAAACATTCTTGTTGTATATACTTTCTATAATCAAACCCTATACGACCGTTAATACATCACAAGTTTATTTGTTTGGCATTGCCTACGTGTCTGTAGGTTTTCTCTAGCGACCGACTAGTAGCGTAGACTCTAACAGAGTTTCTTGGAAATAAAGGCCTAATACCCCACCTTCTACTTAACCTCACCGCTGATTTGTTCCAACGATAATGAGGCCATAAATTAAAGAATAATAAACACGAACTGCACAATGCGAAACCCAAGAGTTTTGTGCCGTTTGCGCTTACATTACAGCACGGATATTTTTTGGGTCCAAAGGGAATCAACGTCAACTTCTTAAGGTCAATTTGTTATGGAGAATTGATTGAGAAGACATATGGGTCTCGGCAGAACGATTAATATAATCTGACAAGTTAGATATCACCGCCATGTTTACAGTTTTCAAACTCATCTAAGTGCGGAGTATTGTGATATATTTAGCCGCTTTGTCCTCCTTTAAACAAATTTTAGCCTCAATCTTTTTTTGTTAAATGGTTATTTAGATGGCTAATCGTAAGCCGATCGATAAGTCTCTTTTATGCCTTTTCAAAAATAAGCTCGGTTTGTAAGGCGAAATATATCTGAGACCAGCTTAGGAGCTTATTCAGTGAAGTAATATACATGGGCAAATATACAGTGCTTGGCGATATACAGTCCATAATATTCACGCAAACATGGGGTCGGGTTTTCACAAAGGCCAACCTTCAGCTGTTCAGTTATTATACCAGAACATTTTTTTGCAAGTTTGTTATCGAAAGGCGAAACGAGGAATGCAATTATATTGGTTATCACTAAGAGTAGAAGAGTGAGGACTTTTCAAATTCCTTCCATATTTAGCCCAGGGTTTAGATTTGGACTCCGATAACGAGATTTCCCGACCTCCTTCATAGTCGTTCCTTGGCCTTGTGTGGATGGAAGTTTTGAGCGTGGCCACTTGTCCACAGAATAAGTACTTCAGACCTTGCCTATAGTTCTGGCTAAAGAGAAAGTATAAGAACGGCGTCAGGGCGGTATTTGAATAAGCAACAAACTTTCCCCAGAAATACAATTTGGTGAAGCAGGATAGTTCTTGCGGAGTCCAGTAAAAGAACGACAGGTAGACATAGGTATTGATAGGCAACCAGCAAAGTGCAAACACCACCACCACTGCGAGTACCATGCGCACAACACTTCGGTTACGCTTTGAGATGCGCTGTTGAGTGCGAAAAGAACTGTTCCCTGGCGTTTTTCTGCGAGTTAGTTTGACGAGAATTGTCGAGTACAAGATAAGAAGTAAAGCCAACGGGAAAAAGTAGAGCGAGATTGAGGTGACGAGAAAATAGATGCGCGCGGACTCGGCTGGTAAAGGATCCCATGAATAAAAACATTGCGAAGTGCCATGGACTTCGACGTGAAATGCGAAAAAATAGGGAGCATGAAATCCCATAGCTATGATCCACGTGAATGCCATGTTGACGGAGTGCATCCTCTTGGATATGATCGAAGCACGCATAGGAAACACGACCCCGAGAAAACGATCAAAAGCGATTATCACTAGACTTAGAATTGATACTGCGGTCGAAATATCCGTAAAGAACGGTACACACTTGCAAAATAAGTCCCCTGCCTTGCCAGCAATGAACCACCGGGTCGATCCATAGTATATTTCAACGATGTTCCTCGGTATAGCGATTGATGACTGGAGTAAGTCAGAAACGGCCATATTTACTATCAGATAGTTAACAGTGGTTTGCATGCTGAGGTTCTTGAAGACTACAGTGATGACAAGACAGTTCCCTGTTATAGATAATAACAGCATGCAACAATACGCTAGGGTTTTCAGAGCTTTTTCCTTGTCTGATTCCAAAGTTACGGCGCAGAATCCGGTCTGAAAAGTATAGTTAAGCGTCRAGTTGTTCATGGTAACGAGAAGTCACGAGGTGGTTTGGTTTTAAGTGAGGTTTTCGACTGCGCGCACACTCTTTCTTCCTAATAGAGGGCACCTGCGTCTTAGCTTTGCTCGACCAATTCCAAGTTCAATATCAAAGTTGGTGTTACAAACCCTTTTCTTTGGTTTCAAACTATACGTACGCTATTTAGAGGTTGCGACTTTTGTCTGTGCGGTATTAAATCAGCGGCGATCGATTTAAAAACAACATCACATGATTATCAGACCTTTATCAAGATCTTGTACAGGCTGCTGGGTTTTCGTTGATATCAGGCGCTTTTTGTCTCTTTATTCAACGACTTTGTATAGGTTCTAATGAACGTTCTGTTTTTCACGTCGAGCTGCGGTAGCCGAAAACCTCGCCCACAATCAAGACTGGATTCCTTCGCAGAGTGTTCTTCAACTTAGTGATTGCAGTGCCAAGACGCTCTTGGTCTGTGATGGACGATTCTCGACTTCTCTGGTTTAGTAGAGTTCGCCCAGTTTTCACCAGAATACGCACAAATCAATTTTGACGTATGTAGTCAACAAACGAGTTCTTGTCTTGACAGCTGTTAAGCAACGTGTTGGACACCATCAGTAGTAGGAAAGGCTTGTGTGTACAAACGAAGCTAGAGATTCCCAAATGATAAATGTGCCTGCTTGCAATCCTGCTTATCAAATGAAACAAAACTGTTTCAGTTTCAGGGGTGCTTTTAGTGGCCTCTCGTCTGCCGGATGTCTATTGACATTTTTTCCCTCAACAGAGTCATAACCTTCAATCAATTACGCCAACGATGAACGAAAATTGCATTAGTGATTGACACCCAGGGGCAACGCCCACCACAGGTGAATAGCATAGCTTTCTCGGCTCCAAGATTAAAGAATGTTTTTTGATCTACAAGAACAAGAGGTCAATACATTATCTCCAGCTTAGCAAAGAGCAATCAATGGAGTTCCTCTTTTGCCACGATTTTTATTCTAACACCCGAGGCCTACATCCTGAAATTTACCACGAATTATTCGTCAAACAAGGAAGCAATGACATGGATTTATTCTAGAAGTAAAAAAGAGACCTATTAGGGCGAAAAATTTGTATTATATATAGGGTGAACGTTAATTCTAATATTATTTGCGCGTAACAGAGGTTTTAATGAATTGCGCACGAAACCATAACTAAAAAGCCGAGAAACCCAAATACGTGTAACCTTAATATAATAATTTTTAGACCGAGATATGTAAGTCGATTGATTTTTTTCTTTTTTTTTTTTTTTTTTTTTTTTTTTTTTTTTTTTTTTTTTTGTGTGTGTGTGTGATTTCATAGGCATTAAACTTTAGCTGCGAGTTAATTTACTAAAATGGCTTTCTTTGTTGTATCACTCCATTACCATAAACCCATCCAAAACAGACCTTAATAGTTACAGCAGTAGAACAAAAATAAAAGCTCAGTTCGAAGCGTATAGTAATGAGTAAAAATAGTGTTAGCTGAAAATCGGATCACTAGCCAATGCCGATCCAATATCGAAGACCAAACTTCAAAAAGACTTTGAATTTGAATACAAATATATTTGGAAATAACTGGCGCAGTAGTCTCCGATTACAAAATGGATGTCTGCCTTGAGTGTTCCATTTAATAATTCGACCATATCACACAACATTCTCAACAACTTCACTCGATTCAATTTAAGAGATCCAAATATGTACAAAAATACCCTCTAAGGCGTTCTCCCACCTACCACTAATCCCTAGTTGATAGTTTTTTTTTTAGAATTTGTCGAGCTTCAGGGAAAATATTAAGTCTTTTTTATACATACTATATATAGGCTGCCATTCTCAGGCGGAAAAATTGTCAATAAAGGATTAATCGTTGTCGATGTGTCGCGAACAGCTGTTATCGACCAATCCGCATTAGATAAGTCTTTTCATTTCAGAATGTAATTTAGAATCGAATACGGTCTACTGGCTCGAACAGAAATCAATAGGCGAGAACTAATTTCTTTGTGGAAGGAAGACTTGATCTTCCAAGATTGTTAGACCTTTAGACTGTTTGCTTTAGCTAGTCGAAGCCTAAATTATTTTTGCTGAAAAGAGTAAATAAATAAAAAGTAAATTAAAAAATAAATTCTATACAATGGACCACTTACCTTAGTAATAGAATTTTTGACGAATCAGATTCGAAAGAATGACTCAGTATAGTTGTCAAGAGGCACACGAAAACTGATCTTAAGAGACCTAAATTTACAATCAGCCCAACACAGAACACAAGTGAGGAATGGGTAGAATGAGTCGACCTTACTATGACTGAAGATATGAAAATCTTAAGGGATATTGAGATTCCAAAGATAAGATGTACAACGAAGATTGGAGGTAGTTCGTAATCACGAGACTATCAAAGACGAGAAGAGTAGACCAGACGTGAAACCCCCAAGGAAGTTTGGAGTTCGGAGAACAAATACCGATTAAATGTTCTGTTTAAACTGTGGAAGCGTGAGAAAAAACTGCCTTTTTTCAAAGAAAGAGAAAGATAAAAGAACAAACGAAATGACATATGCAATTCCTTGATTGTAAATGTAAATAATTTTTGAAATCAAACAGCATTATTTCACTTTAATTTTGGGATTCACTTTACCGACATCTTAGAAGAGACGTTTTGGGAATTGGAATGAGTAAGAATGTGATGTCAATTCGCGAAAAAAATATTTCTCTTTCTTATTCTATTCCATTTTCTTGTTTCGATGATTCTTGATCGATCGTTAACCCCACAAATTTATTCTTCAAAGGCAAAATTTTAAAAGAAAAGAATGAGGTAATTTATATACGTCAAGTTTTGTGGACAGCAAAAATAAYAAAATAAATGTTTCACAGCCATTAAATATCGACCACATTGACAACATTAAACTCTTAGTCAAAGTTTGTGTCTATTTGTATCAACCTGCTCATACTTTTGCGGTTGGCTTACAGTTTATTTGGAAAACCACTTAATAGGTTTCTACCCCATGACGTCATACACGAAGCCTCAATTATTCAATAACCGTTGCTCTCTTAGTGCCAAAGGTCTGAAACATGGTCAGAGCCAGGCAAGATTTCTTTAGCACTGTACTAAAAGGAGTACGATTTTAATAGCTTATTCACATGAACGTTATATCTCCTGACGAGTTGGAAGACAAATAAATTTTCTTATGTTTTTGTTCGGTTGGTCTTCCTCGATGTATTTGCTTCCGCGAGGAGATAGCATTCAAGGAAACAAAGCAAAAATAGTGTCCCCCACAAGTTTACAATGGCTTGATGCTCAGAAGTAGCCAGTCAGATATTTGAAATCCACAGATTTAGATGTGTATATATGTATAAGATGACGCGATAGGTTTCATCATTGCGTTCAATCTACCGATAACACCCTCTTATATGATCCAAATCCCTATGTAATTCTCTAATACCAAAAGTAGACCAAGTTTATAGTAAATATACATGTGTGTGTGTGTGTGTGTGTGTGTGT